GGCATCCAAGCTCCTTGCCTTGGTGAGCCAATCGTGAGACGGCCCGGAGTGGCGAAGGATGTACGGCGTCAACTCCCAGCTCTCGAGCCCGACGAGCGCGGCTGCCTCCTTGAACATGGCATTGAAGGCCGCGCCCGACCACGGAAAGAGGAGCTCCATCGGCTGCGACTGGAAAGCGACCTGCTCCAGCAGGGGCCCGAGAAAAGACCTTGCGGGGCTGTCGAGCAGGATCGAGTCGTTGAAGCCCCTGGCCTTGGTGGACTGCAGCTCCTCCTCGGGCCTCAGCACCAGGGACGTGAAGCAGTAGTCCCCCCCGGCATGCGGCTGCGCCGGCACCACGTGGTCCGCCCTGAGGGTCAGCAGCTCCCCTGGGCGCAGGTAGGCGTCCGCCGCGAGCACCACGCCGAGGGCCGCGCGTCGCTGGCCGAGGTAGATCAGGGCCACCGCGATGGCTGCCACCGCCGCCCAAGGCGCGGGCGCCCGCGTCAGCGGCGGCACCAGCCTCCGCCAGCCCTGCAGCGCCCTCGCCACGCGGGGCAGCTTCAGCAGCCTGCCTGCGCGGTGCAGCCTTGGGTCGCGATGCCCTATCGCGGCCAGCAGCTTGGCCCCGCTGTTCGACGGCCCCCCCCGGCTGAACTGCAGCTCCATGTACTCCACCACGGCCTCCTCCAGCTCGACGTCGCTCGCCGTGGTGAGTCCGTGGGTCTTGCAGAAGACGTCGAACCGCTCCAGCCTCCTCGCGTAGTCCTGCCTCGTCTTCTGGGTGATGCTCTCCTGCTCCAGCGTCGTGAGTCCACCAGTCCCGACCGGCCGCGCCCTCGCCGCCTCGATCGCTCGCGCGAACGCTGGCGGGGGAGGGCGGCCGCGGCGGGGCACACGGGATCGGCGAGACCTCGTCGATGAAAGCAGCCGCCGCTCGGTCGAGGATGCCTGGCCCGCTGCCGCTCTGACCGCAGGGGCTGGGGCAGGCAGACGGCGGGGCGGCAGCCTGTGGCTCTCTGACAAGGCGCCGCTCCTCCGCAGCACCCTCTCGCGAGGGGGGCTGCCAAGCCCGCGCGCACCATCCCTCTCGGGAAGCGCTCGAGCAAGCCTCGGCGGCCTCTCCAGCGGGCCGGCGTCGCCAGGCGTCCAGCGCAGCAGCAGCCGCCTTCTCAGCAGGCGAGTCGAACCATCGGCTAGGCTCATCAGCTGGGTTGAGCTCGCTGGCCACCCAGCGCACGCTGGTGCGAGAGAAGGAGGCCAGCAACAAGGCGGCCCACTTTCTGAGCAGAACCAGCACCGGAAATGACACCGCTCGGCCCTTCTCGAGGCTCAGGACCATACCCATGTTGTCACACAGAAACAAGTGGCGATGACGATGGTATCTAGCTTGACGACACTTACGCCTCCACCCGAACAGCACGGCCCTGAGCTCCTTAAGATGGATGGCCTCCCTCCTATGATATCTTCTTGCCTGGATGGTCCTCCACGAGCCCTCGCTGATGAACCCCTTGGGGATCTCCGGGAACTCCCGATTGATGCTGATGTCCACGTCCCCGTCGATGAGGTCTCCTAGGAAACCTGCTGGATAACCTGACTCCTCGCCCAAGTAGCCCTCAGCAGCGGCCCCAGCGGCCCCAGGAGCCCCAGCCAGAGGTAGATCCCGAAGCACTTGACGACGAAGGGCGCCACTGAGGCCTCCAGGAACCCGTAGAGGCAGAGCTGGGTGTACATGATGTAAACCTTGGGGGCCCATGGGGTCAGCACCTGGGAGCCCCGGCGGAGGAGGAGGTAGAGGTCGCTCGTGTAGACTCTCACCCGGGCGCTCGAGCAGAGCTGCCTCGCGCGGGCGCAAGGCTGACTGGATGCGAAAGCGCCAGCGCTCACTCCAGCGCCCGACCTCCCGCACGGCTGGCGGCCCCATGTCGGCCTCCTGCACCGCATAGCCGCGCAGCGTGGCATCGGAGCAGGTGACGCGCCCGGACCACGGCAGATCGAACTGGACGGCCAGCAGCGGCATGAGGTGCAGCGCGTTGGCTAGCTCCTGCCGCACCGAGGGCCAGAGCGGCACGGGCACCCTGTAGTGCTTCCGGGCGAAGTCGTAGGCCGCCCGGAAGACGCACAAAGCGGGGCGATTCAGCAGCATGGCATGCGTGAAGTGGCCGATCATCTGCTCGACCTCCCGGCCAGCCACGCGCCGGCGCCGCAGGAGCGCCTGGGCGCCCAGCCCGAGCCTCCAGCGCTTGGCCCGCGCCAGCCGGGCCCGCAGCTTGAGGCCGTCCAGCTCCAGGCCCAGCGCCTCCACGACCGTCTTGCTCTCCTCGACTTCGTGCAGTGGCAGCCCGGCCTCGGTCATCACCTTGGCTGCCTGCCTCCTCGCACCCCGGGTGGCGCCCGGCCGCGACGAGACGAAGATCTCGTTGTCCACGTAGACGACCCTCGGCACCTGGGGAGAGTCCACGCTCGGAGCGATCTGCCTGTCCACCAGCTCGTTCTCGACGCCACCGAGACCTCCCCGCCGCAGCAGCTCGCGGTGCGCCTGCTGCGTCCAGCGCATGGCCCACGCGAAGCCCATGGGCAGCACCCGCAGGCACGGGTAGACCCACGACCCCTCTGAGACCGCGAGGCCGTCGACCACCTTCACGCCCAGCTGCCTCGCTCTGAGCGGGCGCATGCCGAACCACGGCACCATGTAGTCCGGCACGCGGAACTGGTAGAAGCAGTCCGCGATGTCCTGGATCGAGAACTCCAGCTGGGCGCCGCCCTCGACCTCCATGTTCACTAGCGCCGCGGTGGACGCCATGTGAATCGTCGGCGGCCGCTTCAGCGCCTGGTTGACAGCCCGAGCGTCCACAATATGAGCCTCAGGCGGCCCGACTTCTTCTTCACAAAGAAGACTCCCACTTCAAAATCGCGACGAGTCCGCAGCTCCACCATGTCGCGGGCCAGCAGGTCCTGCACGAACCGCTGGTACTCGTCTGCGTCGGATTGCAAGGTCTTATCCCAGTACACCTTGGTGGCGCCTGGGCGAACCTCTTCAGCGCGAAGCATCATCGAATTCCTACCGTCGATCACCTCCTGGCGGTCTGGCTCCGGCAGCACCTCCAGCAAGCTGACACAGCCCGCCGACTCAGGCCACGAAACCAAGCCGCGATCATACGGCGCAACCACAGTGGGGCCGTCGGGGCCATAGCCCAGACTACCCATGCCAAGCAACTCCACGAGGGCTGCCTCGGGGCTGGGGGCGTCGTCCGGCGGCTTGTCGTCCGACACGGCCTGCCAGAGCATGTCCACAGCAGAAAATTGTGCCTCCGAAGGACGGGCCTTCGAGCAAAAGTCGCCCTCCCCGTACAAGTTGTTCAGGGCGGCGATGCAGTCGTTCACACGGCGGCCCACAGCAGACCTGCGGCCGATCCTCTGGGCGGAGCGGCGCGGCAACGCCCGCGCGCCCCGAGCCGGCGGCACGGGCACCAAGGGCAAGGGCAGCAGATCCCTCGGCACCATGCGCTCCAGCGGCCTGGTCGCACCAGCTGGGCACGGCCAACTCCCAGCCTCGAAGCCCATCATGACTTCTTCGGAGGAGCGCGCGCCAGAGCACGCTCCTCCGCAGCTTTGCGCTCCTCCTTCAAGATGGCCGAGTCCCGGGCCGCGGACTCCGCGACCCACTTCAGCAGCTCCGGGCTGATGATAGCCCCGCCCGTCCTCCTGGTGCGTCCCAGGTAGTAGTCCTGGGAGTCGAAATCCTTGATCGTCTCCTTCTTCTTCTTGACCTTGTGCTCCAGGAACTGCAGGTGCCTCGCGAGCGCCTCCATGCTCGCCAGGTTGGCCACGTCGACCTGGTCGTAGGTGCAAGCCAACTCCAAAATCTCCGACAGCATCTCGTGGGCCACCACGCTATGCTCGTCATCGTGGAGCTTGTTCTCGTGCTTCCACGTGGTGTGACGCTGGACCGGGCCCCCGCTTTGCCTGGCAATCTCCTTCACCACGTACGAGGCAGTGCGGGGGCCCGACAGCGCCCAGTCCTCGAACTCACACTGCTCCGACGAGTCCGCCACGCTCTTCAGATCCCGAAAGCGGCGGCCGGCCGCGTCCCGCTTGATGGCCAGCGTGCGGGCGTCCTCGGCGGGTGGCGGCGCCCGCGCCCCCCCGACGGCGTCCGGCACCGCGGACGCCACGAAGGTCCGCAAGGCCTCGTCCGCGGTCTCGCCCGGCGCCAGCCTGACCAGGACCGCCGACCTGCCGCGACGGCCCAGGTCGTAGAGCCCGTGCTGCCCGAACGCCACGAAGTCCTCCGACGGCGTGTCGAGCGATTCGGGAGCGAGTACACCGCGCCCCGCCTGACGTCGCCCTCGGGGACCACGCAGACCCAGTCGGCCCGCTCGCCAGTCGAGCCGGAGCCCGCGGCGCCCGCCCCCGAGGGCGCGCCCCCGTCAGCCAAGGGCGGAGGCTCAGGCTCCTCGGCGAGCCCCCGCGCCGCGCGCAGCTCCACGGCCTGCTCCTCCGCCGCGTCGATCCACGACTGCAAGGCAGCGCCGCGCGGCCGCTCCGTGAAGCGGTAGACCGGCTGGCCCTTGGCTGCTCCAAGGCCGGCCGGCAAGCCGCCCCGCGGGCCCGCCTGCCGGAAGTCGGCCACGCTGCGCGTGTCGATCTCCTCCTCGTACATGTCCTCGTCGGGGGTCAGCACCAGGTACCTCGCCCCGCCCAAAGACGCGAGGATCAGCCTCTCATGCCACGGTTCCTTTGCCTCCCCGTAGTCGAGGAACACTACGCCCCCTGCCTTCAGGTTGAGCGCCCGACGCACCAGCGACTTGGCCGGCATGCTGAAGCGCTAGCTGCACTTGCACGGGCGCGTCCACGACGGGTGCCAGCTGCTCCTGCCGCTCGGCTCGCGAAGGCGCCGGCGCGGTCCTCCAGAGACCCCACAGGCCAATCCGCACCGACACCAGGCACGTGCAGACGGTCACCTGCGCCAGCAGCACCGCGAGGACGCCGAGCAGCACACCCAGGCCCCCGGCGACGACCGCCGCGCCCAGCGGCACTGGCGCCCCCCAGACGCCGGTCTCGGAGAGGCAGGCGTTGGCGCTGGTCGACAGCGCCAGGGCACAAGGGGAGACCTGCAATCCGCTGCTGGCAGCCTCGAAGGTGGAGGCTTTGGAGAAGGTGGCCCAGCCGAAATCTCCCATACGCCGCCCTGAGAAAAACCGCTTGGGCCGAAGTGATGCGGCCAGGCGGGAACCATTAGCATTGCACGCTCTGTGACACTCCGCGGGCTCTGTTTCACAACGCTGCTACATCCTCAGAAGCTTCTGCCGAATACGCTGAAGCATGTACTACGACTGCTTCTAGTACGACTTCTACTACGACTGCTAGTACGTGTACCACTACTACTGCAAGTACTGCTACTTCTACCAACGGCGACTGCGACTGCGACTACGACTACGACTACTACTACTACTACTACTACTACTACTACTACTACTACTACTACTACTACTACTACTACTACTACTACTACTACTACTACTACTACTACTACTACTACTACTACTACTACTACTACTACTACTACTACTACTACTACTACTACTACTACTACTACTACTACTACTACTACTACTACTACTACTACTACTACTACAACTACAACTACTACTACTACTACTACTACAACTACTACTACTACTACTACTACCACTACTTCTTCTAGTACTGCTACTACTACTTCTACTACTACTACTACTACTACTACTAATAATAATACAACTACTACTACCACTACTACTACAAATACTCCTATTACTACCACCGCCACTACTATTACTACTACCACCACTACGACTACCATGACGACCAGTACAATAACTACTACCACAACTACTACGACTACTACTACTACTACTACTACTACTACTACTACTACTACTACTACTACTACTACTACAACTGCTACTACTTACTACCGCTCTCCTAGTACTACTTCTAATACTAACTGACGACACTACTACTACAACACTAACTACTTACACTACAACTAAATACAAAACTACTACTACTACTACTACTACTACTACCTACTCCTACTACGACGGCTACTACTACTTCTACTACTACTACTACTACTACTACTAACTTCTACTCTACTACCCTAACTGTTACTACTACATACACAACTACTACTACACACTACAACTACTACTACTACTACCTACTACTACTACTACCACTACCACAACTAAACTACCACAACTACTACTACTACTACTACTACTAATAAAACTACTACTACTACTACTACTCTACTACTTCTACTACTACTACTGACTACTACTACTACTACTACGACTACTACACTACTACTACTACTAAGACAAAAACTAAAAAAATAAGTACTACTACCACTTACTACGGGTGCAGCGCCTACGACTACGACGACGAATTAACAACTACTACCTACTACGATTACTACCACGACCCCCCTGCTACCACTACTAATACTAACTACTACTACGAACTACTACTCACTACTACTACTCACTACTACTACACTACTACTACTACTAGCACTACTACGACTACAATATTACTAGTACCAACTACTACGAAAAAAATATAAGAAAGGACTAAACTACTACTACTACTACTACTACAACTACTACTGACCACTAACTTACTACTACACTTCTATACTACTACTACTACTACTAACTACTACTACACTATACTTCTGCTACTCCAATATCTAAACTACCACCCCACCTGCTACTACTACGGCAAGCTACTACTACTAAATCCTACTACTACTACTACTAACTACTACTACCCCCACTACCCACAACACTACTACTTACTACACTCCTCTACTATACTACTTACTACTACTACAAATACTGCTGCTGCTGCTGCTGCTGCTGCTACTACTACTACTACTACGACGACTACTACGGCTACCACTACTACTACCACTGCTACTACTACTACTGCTACCATTACTACGACAACTACTGTTACATCTACTACTACGACTACTGTTACGATAAATGGAAATATAGTGCTACTACGACTACTACTACTACTACTACTACTACTTCTACTACTACGACCACGCCTACGACGACTATTACTAATACTACTACGACGACTACTACTACTACTACTACTACTACTACTACTACTACTACTACTACTACTACTACTACGACTGCGACTACTACTAATACTACACCTACTACTACTACTACCACTGCTACTACTACTACTACTACTACTACTACTACTACTACTACTACTACTACTACTACTACTACTAGTGCTACGACGACTACGACTACTAGTACGTTTACGAGTAGGACTACAACGACTACTACTACTAGTACGACTACTACTACTACGACTACTACTACTACTACTACTACAAGTGCTACGACGACTACGACTACTAGTACGTTTACGAGTAGTAGTAGTACTACTACTACTACTACTACTACTACTACTACTACTACTACTACGACTACTACTACTACT